TAGCCTCTGCTGCTCTTGGCTCTCCATAAGCTTTTCTAAAAGCATCTCTCCCCTTCATCCGCACAATCCTTCTAGAATGCCCTGACCCTGATTCCTCATATTTGACTACCAACTAACTGGTTTTGCCAACTGGCCTCTACCAGTGTTGAACATATGATGTTCTCTCCAACTGGGATCCTCCTGAAAATAAGCTCATTTTGTAGTGGAACTGTTATGGACCAAGGCACTTAAAGAGGAATATCCACAAACTTGCTGATGCTAACGGTACACTGAATGTTCAGAGGAAAGATTAATAGATAAATTGATACGATGAAGGACAATAAAATCTGAGAAAATGGTTCAATTACCAAAATAGTTAAATTGTTTTCAGATAGTCAGTGAGATCCAACTTCTCCTCAATCTTCTTTCAGGATATGATACATCAATAAGTCCATGAATTCTGTCATGCAATTGCTTTCAAGTAATTGAGGCTGGTAGAATTTTCTTTTTTACACTAGTGTTAAAAAGCTCTTCACACATAAAGATAATTGAGATACAGCATGTATTACAACATGTATGGAAAAGAGATTCATTTAAACCTTTGTTGCCTTCTTGTAATTTTACTGTTGCCTGGAATAAAAGTCTCAAGGGTCCACACAACTGATCACAAACCACTGTTGCAATCCCCACCTCTTCAAAGTTGTTTCTTCTGCTTTTTCAACCAGCTGAACCAGATATTGAGGGCATGCCAAATGCTTGAGGAGCCATAAAAATGACCACACTTCTTGAAAGGTGTATCATTAAGTCAACAAAAGATTCTAACTTGTCTAAGAAAATGGTTCAGTTACCAAGAAATGCTAGGTTTCCAAAAGAAGATAAAGAAATAGGCATGGAATACACCCTCCAGTGACATATAACATTTGGATTTCCCAGGAAAACCAAAACTGATTTGCTTCAACTGGACACTCAGAGAATAATCCTGTCAGTTCTTTTTGCTCCAGTATATCCTTCATCTGTGCATAAGTCATGCACAAATATTGAGGCCAACTCTTCTTCACATTCTAAATTGTTTCACTTCAGTTGCCCTCACCTTCGCAAATTTAGGGAAAACCCAATATGATCAATAGGGATATCATCAAAATTGGTTCCAGATTTGATACAGTCACCAGTAGCATGCCAACTGGTGAGTCTCTGCATCCCAGAGAGAGCTGTATGCAACCAAGAGACTTGTTCTTTGGAGCCACCTGCCATTTTGACAATATCAGAAAGGGGTCCCTGTCTTCTTGCTCTGTAAACCTGAGCCAGGAGAAGATGTGGTAGGTGCGTGTACAGGGCAAACAGCACCTTAAGAGAGGCTAATTCGTCAGTAGCACCTCAATAATTTCAACAGCAAAATTAAATTATTTTTAGAGTATTTTGATTCTTAAACAGTATTTTAAATCACAACCCACATTCTGTAGCTTCTTTTCAAAGTCTAATGTTTTCTGGAGTTTTTCCTTTGTATCCATCTGTACCTTCAAAGCAACAAGGAGTTTGGTTCCTTGTCCTATTATTTTTCAGTGTAGTCCAAACCATTC